GTGACAACTTTATCTAGCTTTGCAATTAAAGTAATGAAGGTACTATTCAAACCAGGGCCTAGTCTGCCACTGACATGAAATTCTTTCATAAAGTTGATCACCTCCTCCTTAAGCACCTTCCAGTATTTTTTAAAAAAACATCAGATTGAAGCCATCTGGGCCAGGAGCTTTGTTTCCATTACAATCCATAACTGATGACCAGATTTCTTCTTCAGTGAATTCTGCCTCAAGCATAAGGAAAAAGTCACTAAGTCTTACACTCTTAAAATTTCCAGCAAGCCTTGGTCTGTTGCTCCAAACTTCAGTGAAATGATTTGAAAAGTGAGTCCACACTGCATGCTTAACTTGACTTGGCTCCTCCAAAACCACATCCCCCACTTTGATGGAGTTGAGAGTGTTCCTAGTTTGTCTGTTGCTGGCCATAACATGGAAGAATCTAGTGTTCCTGTCACCCTTCAGATTCCAATCTAACCTTGATTTTTGGAGCCATTCCTATTCTAACTTCCTACTCAACATCCACATGTCATTTTTTTTTTCTCTTTGCAGCTTCAATTCAACCTCCTTCAATGATCTAGATTCATGAAGTTCAGTTTCAATAGCTTGTAATTTGAATGCAACATTGCCATAAACCTCTCTACTCCATGTTTTTAATATCAACTTGAGAGTATGTAATTTTCTCTACAGAATGAAACCAGATGACCCAGAAAAATGAGATTCCTGCCATGTTTGTTCCACTAAAGGAGCAAGATACGAGTGCAACAACCAAACATTTAAAAGCTTGAAAGGCTTGGGTCCTCAATCCCAAACATCCTGCATTAGCACAATAGGACAATGGTCAGATGCAATTCTAGGAAGGCCCCGTAGTTTGAACTTGTATCTCTCTAGCCATTCAAGGCTTAAAAGGAACCTATCAATATGACTCTATTTATTTCCATCAAAAGCATTACACCAGGTGTATTTTCTGCCTAACATTTGCAAGTCCACCACCTCACATGTATCTATGAACTCGTTGAATTCTTTCATGCCCCTATCCCTTATTGATATACCTACTATTTCCCTTGTGTTTCTGATCTTGTTGAAATCACCACCAAGACACCAGGGTTTGGAAAATGAATCCTTCAGATTTAACAGAATCTGCCAGAGTTTCCTTCTCCTAATGACATCATTAAGAGCATAAATATTAACAATTACATAATCGAATGAGTTGTAGAGCTTACCTGATAGTAGAATAAAGTTTCTATTGCTGTAACACTCTGAGGTTGGAAAACCTCAAGGTCCTAGAGGCGGAGTAAACCACCTGCCATCCCTTCAGCATCCACAGCCATAGACTCCTTCCTATCCTTGGGCCAAAGACTTTTCACCTCAAAGCTGGTAATGCCTAACTTTTTTGTCTCTTGAAACAAAGCCATGTCAATTTTCCTTTGTAGCAAAAGATTCTTGATCTTTTTCCTCTTAGCAGGTCTTCCTACCCCCCAAATGTTCCAACTTAGTGTCTTCATAGAAACATTATATGTCACTGATCTTACCCATTTGGAGCTGATCATTCCACAATACCCTTCCTTTTTCCCAACGTCTCCTTATGCTTCTCCTCCATGTGTACTAATTTCCTAATAACCTCAGATTCCTGCCCCATGAATTCAAGCCCTAAACTTTTCTCCATCTGCACTGTTGCTTGGGCCTCTTGAAAAATATCAATTCCAGAAAAGGGTTGCTTATTAACTGAATTTTGAAGTGATATGGGAGCAGGTGTGGATCTTGACCTCAAGCCTTTAATGGTTCCTTTGTTTGTGGAAGTTCCCTTCTGACCAATCAACCAGCTAGTAGAGGTTGTTTAACTCCTACTCGTGTACTTTCTTTCCTCTTGCTTCTCTTCAAGCGATTAATAATAGAGTCTAAAATAGATGGGCTGATAGTGTCACTACCCACTCCTGATGGCCCATACCTTGGCCTTGCAGGTGGAAATTGAAATGCACCACAAGAGGGCCCAAGGGGCAGCAATTCTGAATGGGCCAGGTTAGTAGGCTGTAACCCAGTTAGATTATGACTAAAAGCTACCTCTAGACAAATACCAGATCTATTCTTCAGGGAAGGGCTTAGGCTTTTGATAAAACCTGGAGTGAGGATTTGACCTTCTACTATATATGGGCTATTGCACCTTTGTGAGCTTCATGATTACACCCTACTCTCTACTACCGACTACCCACTAACTGAGCTTCAGCCACCGATTGAGCTTCATAAGTGTACCTATACCTCTGGTGCAGGTTTTCCTTTGGCAAAGATGACTCAATCACACATCCACCCTCTTCATTTGAATTTCCCGCACAATCTGTGGTCTCTTCCACTGTTGAGGCATGACTCCAACTGCCACCAATCCCTACGGCCACATCAGATATTTTTGCCACTTTAACTGCCTTGTCATCACCTTTTTTTACCAGGTTGAGTTTTGCATGAAGGAGCCCATTTATTTTGGAGCAAACATCTTGGGCTGCCTCTTTAGATGATGTTCCTTTGCAACTGGTACTAACATCTGCTGAAGTCTGCTCTTTAAAGACTCTGATTGTTTAAAATCTTCCTTTACACTCCAGATTCAGGCTTGTATTAATCGGATCCATGACACTGGTAATTATTTTGAACCTTCCACAACGGAAGGATTTAGGAGTGCAAACATCATCATCTAAAAGAACTAACTGTCCCCACAATCTTCCTATCTTTCGGAAGGTATCTGAGTTCCATAGATTAAGGGGCACCCCATAACTGATCCAAACATACCTCTCCTGATGAAGAAGCATAACTGGTCTCCATTCATTGATTTACTCACATTAGTCATGGAACCAATCCTTGAGCTGAGACCTATGACTTAACATATCTTCTTTGGAATTAAATGAGATGATAGCATCTCGCCTTCCTCTTTCTCTTACCAACACATTCTACACTCCTCTTTTGATGAGTTCGTTCTTCACATTCAAGACAGAGTAATCTATTTTGAGTCTCATTATCAGACTCTCGTACAGCCACCCATTTCCTAGCTCATCCACTTTGATAGTTACCGGTGGTGTAGATATGGGTTCAGCTCCCTTTATGACCTCTGCAAATGTCCGACCATCGGTGCGTTGATGCAAAATCTGCTTGGTCACTATAGCGGCATCATGTCTGACTTCAACTTGCCTTGTTAGTGATGGTTTCTGCCTCTGTTTATTTTCTATTCCTTTACCATACTCTGCAATTTTGACCGACAGAGATTTGTTATCAACCCACAAACCATTGGCCTTCTGTTCAACAACAGTCGCTGCAATGGAGCAGTTGTAACGCACGAACCCGAATCTTGTATTGGTGGATTTTCTTCGCTTTTGTGGTATGTACACATCCTTAACCACGCCAAACTTGGTGAACAGATCATACAAGTTTCTAGGTGAAAAGGATTTCAGCAAGTTATCCACAAATAGTGTAATCAATGTTGCCCTTCGACCATCCGCCCACAAGTTAGGACGCACTTGCCTACCTCTTTGCTTGATCACTGGGATCCAACCTCCCCGTCCGTCATCGTTCGCTCTTCTCGCTCTTCTCTCCATCGCTCTTTACTCCTACCAATTTGTCTTCTTATAATTAGTATTCCTCATTAGTATTTGTTAATTGAAACAATTATATGGAACTAGGTTTGTAAAATTCCTTCATTAGCGTTTTTATAAAAAAAAAAAATATTTTTTCCTTTTGTGTGTGTGTGTTGAGTGAATTTTTTTTCATTTTTTAAAAATCTTTGAGATGCTCCCATACACTCTAAAATAAAAATTTTAAAAAAAATTAAAACTTATACTATTATATAAAGCACATAGCACTTTGAAAGTTTGTCACGGTTTGTTCTATACAAAAAATATCATTTTCAAATCTAATTACTTCAAACATAATAACTACTATGATTGATCTAACTATTTTACACACAGTGTGTGTGTGCCCACACATCCAGTTTGTGAAAAGTCCAATGAAAAACCCCAAGAAAATTGAAAAACACCCACAATTTAAATCAACTACATAACACTTCCGCCGATAAAATAAAAATAAAATAAAAATAAAAATAAAAAATAACCCCTACATAACACTTCCAATTAACCATTGATCAATCAACTCAAACCATTAAACAAGATGAGAGACTCATACAAATAAGGGCTTACAGCGTGTTAACCCTGACTTATACCTATAGTTCAGCCCATCATAAGCTTCAAGAAGTTGGATCTCCACTCCAAAGCGACCTTGCAACCACAAGTTCTGTTGATCAAGTATCTCCATGACGCTTCAAACTCCTATTTCCAAATCAATGGTTTCAATCTTCAATTAACCATGGTGTTATAGGGACGGAGAATATGTGTGAAGATTTTTGTAGAATTCAAGAAGAAAACAATCAATCTAGAGTGATTGAGAGATAGGAATCATGAGATCATCTCTAGATTGAAAGTCTCATCAATGGAGTCTTGGAGCACATGCAAAATGAAGAACTAAAGAGAAAAAAATGTCTAAAGCTTGTGTTCCTGACTCCCTAGTGAAAAGATGAGATCAGGTTTGTTCAAAGAACAATTAGAGGGCAAAAACATAAATGACTTCAAAACACACGTTGCTAGGAGCCGCCAGTGCTCAAGCGACTGTCAAGAGCTTAGCAAACGCTCTTCAGTGGCCTTCCAGCACTCGAGTTCCTGTAAGCATGCAACGAGGGGTTGTGGCGATTGAGCTTATGTAGAGCGCATAGCAAGCAGACCTTGCAAGATTCCCAACCCTCGCGAGACTGTCGAGTTCAAAGCAAGTGGACTTTGCAAGCTCAAGCGACTAGCAATGCAAGCATATTGCAAGTGGGTTTTGGAAATTTTAAGGACCAACGAGTCAAGTACAAAATGGACAACTGTGATTGTGTGGAATATACCTGACATCCTCAACATCTCAACACAAACTCATGGCAAGATTAATTTCCAACTGAGTTAATATTGAGTTTGTTATATTTGTATTGAACCATACAGAGGTTCTTGCCCTCGGACTTTGGAAATGATGTGGACCGTCATGATGCAGTTGAGCCAGCAAAATCTGCATTTGAAGTGAAGGCTAAAATCCACAGAGCTATTGAGGCTGAGGGAATTCCCTACAGCTATGTCTCTGCAAACTCCTTCATTGGCTTTTTTCTTCCAATGTTGGAGCAGCCAGGAATCTTTGCTCTACCTCCACCCAGAGATAAAGTAATCATCCCTGGTGATGGAAATCCCAAAGGTATTGAACAGTCTTTCTTAATCTCAGTTCTCTCTAATCAAGCAGTGATTTTTTTTATTAATCAATACTTTAGGAGGAATTTCCTACGTGAGTAATATTTTTATTTTTTGGTTTCTATTAGTATTCTATGTCAAAAGTGTTTTGCAATAGTTAATATTCTTTTTACTTATACGCTGTCATTTTTATTTATTTTTATTTTTTTTTTTCGGGTAGCAATATTCAATGTGGAACATGACATTGGCACCTACACCATCAAAGCTGTGGATGACCCAAGAACATTGAACAAAATCCTTTACATTAATCCTTCTAAAAACATCTACTCAATCAACGAACTGGTTTCGCTTTGGGAGAAGAAGATTGGCAAGACCATTGAACGAATTTATATTCCAGAAGAGCAATTTCTGAAACAAATCCAAGGTCAGTAACAAAACTTGTACTAAATTCTTCGCATCCCTATTCAAAATCGCATATACAGAAATGGTTGATGAAATTTGTTAATTCCATTATTGCAGAGGCCCCAACTCCAATGAATTTAATGTTAGCACTCAACCATTCGGTGTTTGTGAAGGGAGACCAGACCAACATTGAGATCAAGCCCTCATTTGGGGTTGAGGCTTCTGAGCTCTATCCGGATGTCAAATACACCACTGTGGAGGAATACCTTGATCAGTTTGTTTGAGAGAGACTACTACATTTGTTGCTCTTGTTACTAAAATAAAAATTAAGTGGTTATATACTTGGTTTCAGTGGCTCTTCTTGTACAAAAATTTGAATTTGATGAATGAGCGGACTTTCGTTCTTCAGATTGTTATAAGTTTCTGCGAAAATTTGCAGTGTTAATTGTGTTACTTTTTTTTTCTTGTCTTGTGCTTTATAGTAGACCAAGCTTGAGCAGTTGCAATCGAGGAATTTGATATAGGGGACACTTTCTAACTCCTATCACTACAAAAAATTAAGATTTTAGAAATTAAAATTTAGGAACAAACACTACAAAAAATTAAGATTTTAAAAACCAAAATTTAAGAACAAACACTACAAAAAATTAAAGTTTTAGAGACCAAAATTTAGGAACAAAATTATTTTTTAGAGACCAAATAATTTTGTTACGAAAAGTGTCGTTATTATATTTTTAGCAGCAAAAATTAAACATTAGTGATGAATTATTATTCTTTTGGGATCAAATTTTTCATTTCAAAAAATAAACCATTCTGAGACCAAATTATTATCCCTAAAAGTTTATTTATTAGTGACATTTTCAAAAAAAAATTCGCTAAAAGTCTTGTTTTTGACTTTTCGGGACGACCTATTAGCGACTGTTCTCATGACGATAAAAATTGGTCCATAAATATCTTTTGCAACAAAATTTTCACTTGTAGAGACCAAAACATTTGATTTCTAAAACTCTTATATGTTGTAGTGAAAATTATTATTTAGAGACCAAATATTTTTATTGCGAAAAAATGTCTTTTTTATGTTTGTAGCAATGAAAATTGAATATTAGTAATGAATTATTATCCTTTTGGGAGCAAATTATTTTGTCCTTAAAAATCTATTTATTAGTGAAACTTTCAACATTCTTGCTGAAAGCCTTATTTTTAACATTTCGAGACGACTTTTTAGCAACGATATACTCACGACGATAGAAATTGATCCCTAAATGTCTTTTGCAACAAAATTTTCACTTTTAGAGGCCAAATTATATATTGTACTGTATAATGTGGAGAAATAAACCAACCATCACAAAAGGTATCAAACGACTCTTCCATAGGAGTTGAACTTCAAATCTCACACCACAAAGAGTGTTACACAATCCCTAGGTCATAAAAAAAATAAAAATGAATTAAAACATCATATAGGAGTTCTTTTTGAAAAATTAAAAGTATTAAATAAAATAGAATTTTATTCTCTTGGAAAATGATCGTTACTGAGACACTGAGAGATGGAGCACGAAAAACTGACCATGGGTGCTCGACGGAAAAGAAGGATCACCTGATTTGAAATACTAAGAAAGTTAAGAGTAACGTTGACCCTGAAAATGAAGCCATGGTTGAAAGTGCAACAATCGATACGGAATCGGGGGAGGAATTACTCAACCCTAATCCGCTGGTTGTCATTACGAATCAGGAGAAATCTTCTCCTTCTGAAGGGAAATCCGATGATGCAATGGTGACAAATACTGGGGCTATTAAAGATTCCACCTCCTTCAAGCAAGCATTAATGCGATCGCGCTTCAATGAGACTGGTAATGAAAAGAATTTCGATCCTGATGTGGAGGTGCTATCCTCTGATGATGAAGAAACAGATACGATAAAACCATCTGAGGTAGAAGATGAGGAAATGGAAGAGGAGAAAGATGGGATCCCCAAGGTTAAACTACCAGCAAATCTTTTGAAGAAGATTAGAGAGCCATGGAAGAAATGTTTGATTGTGAGGCTATTGGGAAAAATCATCGGCTACAAATTATTTATGATTAAAATGACTAAGGTTTGGGGTCTCCAAGCTGATTTCGAAGCTCTGGATATAGGGAATGGTTTCTTTATAGTCAAATTTGATTTGATGGAAGATTATACGAAAGTTTTTACTGGAGGTCCATGGATAGTGATGGATCACTATGTAACAGTGAGGAAATGGCAACCTGATTTCAAGTCCAATGAAGCTGAAGAAGATACCACAGTGATATGGGTAAGGTTTCCTACCTTACCCCATCGAGTACTTTAATGAAAAAGCCCTCTTCCATATAGCAAAAGTGCTAGGAGTCCCACTGAAGATAGATATCAATACTGTGATGGCCGCTCGAGGGAAATATGCTCATGTCTGTGTGGAAATGGACCTCCAAAAGCCATTGGTCTCCCAAATATCTATAGGTAAACATGTTTACGGTGTTGAATATGAATACCTGCACTCATTTTGTTTTTATTGTGGCAGGGTCGGGCACCGGAAGGAGAGTTGCAGTGACAGACCAATGCTGGAGGCTACAAAATCAGTTTAAGGGAAGATTGGAGAAAACAATCAAGGTCAACAAGGCCAACACAGAGTTGAACCTAAACTCTCTTCAGAAGTTCATGTTGGCCAGTCTACTCATAGAAAGTATGGGCCATGGATGACTGTTTCCAAACATAGAAGGCCAACTAGAGGCCCAGTCATATACAAAGGGAATATGCAACAGAATAACAGATTTGATGCTCTTAATGAAGAAAGTGAGCCAGTTACAAGAAACAAAGCCCATATAGGCCGAGGAAGAGAGATTAATGGGAAGGCCCACTTGAAGGCAGGATCCACCCACCACCCTAAGGTACATGAGAGGAGAACTGCCAATGACACTGCAATAGATAAGGACAAGCAAAAAGAGGAGATTAGACTGGGGAAGAAAATTGCCACTGACATGGAGATTCAGTATCATGGGACAGAGATTGGGACAGATGAGCAACCTGCTACTAGCCATCTACTCGTTCAGGCAGCTCCAAATCCAGTAACCCAGAAATCTGAAATTATCAGCCTAACCATACCTAGCTAACCCAAAAGCTTTATCACAAAATCTCAGGTTCCCAACCATAGAGCTAGTTTCAACAAACCCAAATTTAGAGACCCACCAGACAAATATGGAAGAGGAAGGGGAGAACTATCCTATGGAGAAACATAACATGACCCGGAATAGAGTGATGGTGTGCCTCACACTAGGGAAATAAGCATATCACCTCATCACCTCAGAGTGGTGGAGCGAAGAAACAAAGCTGAGAATCCAGGCTTGGCGACCAGTGGATGCACACCAGGAGCTGCATTACATCTCAATGAGTCCGATGAAGTCAATGGTAGAGAATCAGCAAGCAATAAGAAGGTATCTGGAACTTGATATCCAGAACCCTCTACCTATTCATGATATACCTTCCATGGATTTAATTACCTGGCATTGTCGAGGAGCAGGAAACAAGAAATTCAAAAAAACTTTGAGAAAGCTAGTCCATATACAGAAACCAGCTCTGGTAGTGCTTATGGAGCCTAAAGTGGAATTTAAAGCCATGGGAATGTACTTCAACTGCATGGGATTCACTGCTTCAACTCAGGTAGATCCTATTGGGCGCAGTGGAGGTATTTGGATGATTTGGAATCCTAATGTGGTGAATGTCAGAGTTGTGGAGGCATGTACCCAACCGATCACAGCGATAATCTCTCGACAAGACTTCCAAGATTGGGTTCTATCAGCAGTTTATGCTAGTCCTAATCCTAACAAGAGAGATGAATTATGGGAACAACTTACAACTATTGCTCAGTCCATGGATAAACCATGGTTAGTTGCTGGTGATTTTAACGATTTCTCATCCCCAAATGAGAAACGGAGTCTTCAAGGGAGCAACACTCAAAGTATTAATCAAGACCTTAGAAGAAGTAGTAAGTTCAATGATAGACTTAATATATGTAAGCTGATAGATTTAGGTTGTGCAAGTCCACAACTGACATGGTCTAATAATCGAAAAGGTTGGGCTAGTACTATGGTTCAACTGGATAGGGCCTTGTGCAATACTGAATGGTGAATTACGTTCCCAGATGGTGCTGTCAGGAATCTTCCCCGTACCTATTCCGACCATTCTCCAATGATGGTGCTCACCCAAGGTATATCTCCCTTTAACCCTGCTTGTAGACCTTTTAAGTTTATGGCTGCCTGGGTAACCCATGAAAACTTCAAATATGTTGTTGAAAATAGTTGGACCAATCCTATTTCTTCTCTGAGTGAGAAACTAGATAATCTTGCTCAAGTTGCTAGTACTTGGAACAAAGAGATTTTTGGTAATATTTTTAGAAGGAAGAGATGGTTACTTTGGAGGATCGAAGGGATCCAGAAATCCCAAGCTACCAACTATTCCCATAATCTTCACTGCTTGGAATTTGAGCTTATTGAGCAATATAACCATGTGTTGTATCAAGAAGAACTCTTGTGGTTCCAAAAGTCTAGAGCCAAGTGGATAACTCAAGGTGAAAGAAATACTAAATTCTTTCACCTTACTACCTTGGCTAAAAGAAGAAAGAAAAAGATTGAGATGGTTAAAAATGAGAATGGGTTGTGGGTGGACCAACCTAAACAATTGAAAACCTTGATCACTAATTACTTTATGAATCTTTTTGGGTATACCCCTTCTATTTTTCCACCTAATTGGAGCAACCTGGTGAGCTGCAAGCTAGACCAGGTTGATAATGCTACTCTTACTCATACTATTACTAATGATGAAGTGTGGAACACTGTTAAGAATATCAATGCCTTTAAAGCTCCTGGGAGGGATGGGTTTCAGGCTGTATTTTACCATACTTATTGGTCCATTGTTGGTGTGTCTGTGTGTGATTTTGTTAAAAATTGCTTTCTTAAAAATCATATTCCCAGAGATGTGAATAGAACTCTGATTGCTTTGATCCCAAAAATTGATAACCCTGAGAGTGTGAAACAATTTAGGCCTATTAGCCTTTGCAATGTTTCTTATAAAATTATTTCAAAAATTATTGTCAATAGATTGAGGCCCCTTTTAAGCAAGATTGTTAGACCTAACCAAAGCAGTTTCATCCCTGGAAGGAATACTAGTGACAATATAATCATTACTCAAGAAATTATTCATTCTCTTAACAAAAGGAAGGGTAAGAAGGGTGGTTTGGTTTTTAAAATTGATTTGGAAAAAGCTTATGATAATCTCTCTTGGGATTTTTTAAAACAAACTTTGGAGGAGTTTAATTTTGATCACAATTTTATTGAGCTTATTATGTGTTGTGTGACCACTGTTAGTACTGCTGTTATCTGGGATGGTGTCCCACTTCAGGAATTCATTCCAGCCAGAGGGTTGAGACAATGGGACCCCTTGTCTCCTTACCTGTTTGTGCTTTGTCTTGAGAGGTTATCGAATATGATTAGTTTTCAAGCTGATCATAAAGCTTGGAAATGGGTGGAGACTTCCAGACAGGGGCCCAAACTCACCCACCTTTTCTTTGCTGATGATTTAATGCTTTTTGGGCAGGCTACTACCTCCAATTGTAGCACTATCATGAAGGTTATGGATGAGTTTTGCGATATATCTGGTCTAAAAATTAACCATCATAAGTTCAAACTGTTTGTCTCTCCTAACATTGATAGGAGGAGTGTTAAAGAAATGAGTACCAAGTCTGGTATCCCTCTTACTTCTGATTTAGGGAGATACTTGGGTGTCCCTATCATCCATGGTAGAGTTAACAGGGGCATTTTCACCCACATTTTAGATAAGATGCAAAGGAGGTTGACAGGGTGGAAAGCCCATACTCTATCTATGGCTGGTAGAGCCACTCTAATTCAATCTGTGGCTTCTGACATACCTGCCTATGCTATGCAGACTATGCTCTTACCTTCTAAGGTTTGCAATGAAATTAACAGGATGAATATAAACTTTCTCTGAGGGGACACTCGGGAAAAGAAGAAAATTCATCTTGTCAATTGGAATGTTGTGTGTAAAATGAAAAAAACTGGTGGTCTGGGGATTAAAAAAGCTAGGGATCAGAACTTGGCTTTGATCTCTAAGTTGGGTTGGAATTTGATTAGTAACAGTAACAGTCTGTGGTGTGAAGTATTGAGACATAAATACTTAAATAATACTTCCTTCTTTGCCCAGCAGAAAGGTAAGGTTGCTTCACATATTTGGAGAGGCATCATGAGCACCAAACCTTTCTTAAGGAAAGGTGTTAAATGGAATATTAGTGATGGCAGGTCTGTGCATGTTTGGAAGGACTGGTGGTGTGGTAACAGTTCTTTTGAGGACACTGTTTCTGGCACTATGCAATCTAATGTTACTGATGCTATTCTCATAACTAATTTGAGAGAGTTGTTGGGGGCAGATGGAAATTGGGATGCTAATCTTATTAATGATAAACTCCCTCAGCCATTGGCTACTACTATTCTGGGAACTCCTCCCCCTGGAAACAGTGGGATGGACACCCCAATCTGGAAGGGATCTCCTGGTGGGGAATTTACTGTTTCCTCTGTGTATGAAATGCTTCAGAACAGTGAGGATAGGGCAGAGGACTGGTCTTGGGTGTGGAAACTGAGACTACCACAGAAACTAAAAGGTTTCTTGTGGACTATTCTCCATGGAAAACTGCTCACCAATCAAATGAGATTGAAGAGAGGACTGATTGATATTCCTTACTGTCCTCGATGCAATAGGGTTGAGGATATGAATCATTTATTTAGAGATTGTTATATAGCAAAGGAAGTGTGGCTCACTGTCTTTGATAAACAATGGTACATAGACATGATGAGGAGACCTTGGATGGATTGGCTCATGAGGAATGCAAAAAATAAAAATAATTTTAATGCACAGCTCTCTTGGTTTCTTGTTTTTGTGGTGGCTCTATGGAAACTTTGGAAAAACATAAATGGATTTGTATTCGAAGGAAAATCTGTTAGTAACCAAGAGAGTGCAAAATTTATTTTTGACTGCTCTCAAGAAATCCATCAAACTTTCCTCCAATCTGTACCATAACCCAGACCTTCATTTAAACTAATCAAATGGTGCTTTCCTCCTGCAGGTAGACTGAAACTAAACACTGATGGAAGCAAGAAAATTGGAGGAGATGGAGGCTTTGGTGGGCTGATCCGGGATGAACATGGAGCTTGGGTGTGTGGTTATTATGAACGTTTGCAACCTGGAACTAGTCTTGAAGCTGAATTGTGGGCTCTATACAAGGGACTCACCGTGATCCTACAAAAAGGCATGGACAATGTGACCATTGAATTAGATACAATGCAGGTGGTACAACTGATGAATGAAGAAACAAGGGACAATTGCCCTTTCAAGAATTTGGTGGAGGACTCCAAGATCTTGTTCCGAGGTTGTCAATGCACTGTCCAGCACGTTTGGAAGGAAGGCAATCTCTGTGCTGATGCCCTGGCAAAGTTTGGAGCGCAACAACCCGAAGATATGTTGGTCGTCAATAAGCCACCAGCGGAAATTAGAAGTCTTCTTATTTCTGATATGATAGGCTTGTCTAGGGAACGGGCTTAGCCCTTGTTTTTCCTTTCCATTTCCATTGTAACCACCAAAAAAAAAAAAAGTATTAAATACCTTAAAATAATTTAGGAGAGGCACTAATATAATTTTATAAGAAATATATTAGAGATACTTTTTGTATTCATAGATACTAGTATGGCCTCGTTTGGGAAGTAACCTTTTTAGCCTAAAAGTTAAAAAGTCACTAAAAAAATCAAAAAACGAACAACCTATACCAAAATGTTAAAGATTCCATTTTCTCTATATTTTTTATACATCTTTTCGTAAAAAATCAAAAAATATCACAAACATACTAATTTCTTTTACATTGTATTTTAGCCAAAAAACTAAAAAGTTACTAAAAAAACATATTCCCAAACGAGACCTAAGTTTCAAGAAATAAGGGGGCCACGTGTCCCCTAAACCTTCATTGGCTCCGTCTCTGAGCTTGAGTATAGTTCATTCTTCAAGTGAAATGCATCAAGGCATTCACAATCAAATAAGTCTATTGAAGGAGAGGCTATCATGAAGCATTAATCCACTTTATTGATTGTAAGGATAGATCTATGCTTTTTGGTCAAATTGGCTGAAATGCGATAGAGGGTTATTTCATTGATTCCAAAATAGTTCTGCTTTTGTATTGTTCTTGTATTGTTTTTTCTTTAAGAAAAAATATGACAGATAAGTGATAGTAGAATGGATTTGAAATGAGTTTGAGGCATTAAAGCAATGATGTGATGGCATGAAAGTTGAAGAAACAAAATAGACTTGGATAGAGGTCTTCTATTCTCTCTCCACAATCATATACTCTCCTTGAGTAGGATTGAATACCATTTTTATATGTACATTTACCCAAGAAGGACTTGAACAGATGTCTTATCGCTATTCTCCATCTTTACACTTTACTTTTTCCTTTTGTCTTTTTTCATTTGTCTTTCATTCATTAATTTTTCTTCAAGAGTAAGGAAGATTTTCATTTATGAGTGATCATGACGGCATCCGTGCTTGTCTGAATGAGTTGGAACACCTAAACAAATTGACGCAGTGAAATACACGGGATTAGATATTGCTTTGGTATAAGAAAGAGATTCTCAAATCTATGAAGAAAGAGATTCTCGAATCTAATTCACAAAGAAGAGAAAAAAATTTGAATATTATTGAATAAAAATTTTCTTTGCCAGAATGCTTAAATAGCTATTTATAATAATTTAAAACTTGGAGACCAAGTATTCTAGAAATTTGAAATTAGGGAATAATCTAACTAGTCTAATTCTTGGAAAACAAGTAACTTACCAATTAAGAAAATAAAATAAATCTAAATTAAGAAACCTAATTCTAAAATATGTACACTAAATTACAAAAATCCTAATCAAATAATATATCAAAAATATTAAAACTAAAAATATAAAAATTCTTAAAATATTATCATACATCACAAATGAAGACAAAAATTTAGAAATATATTTCATGAGTTGCTAGAGATGGTGACTAACAATGAAAGGTAAATGGATGTGGTGGCTAGAGGTGGCCACTGA